TACACATTGTTGTTTGAGTTGATGTTGTTTTTATTTGGCTTTGTTTTTTGGTAAATTACTTTTGTTTGACTATATTCTGGAAGAAAAGGGGCAGATATAAGAGTTATTCTTCTTCTGCTGCCTTTCATTTTATTTTTTGATTGTATATAATTTTTTTATTTTCTATTGTATATAGTTACTTTGTTTTTAATGAAATGAATAAATTTCTAAAGAGAAAAGAAAAGAAAGATATTTGAGTTATTGTTTCATATTTTCCTGACAGAGCACTTCGCTCTCAGATCACAGGTTTACTCGCGGTCCACAGAGTTTCCAAAAACAGAATGGGAGGAAGATCTTTCAGTTCTCAGACTCCTCTCTTGTGGAACCAACTTCCAGTTTCTGTCCTTGAGGCTGACACATTGTCCAGTTTTAAGACTGGGCTTAAGACTTTCCTTTTGATAAATCCTATAATTAGGGTCAGCTTGTTTTGCTGCCTTAACTACCAAAAGACAAATTGACCTCATTTCCCTAAATGATTTGTTAAAATTCAATAGTTTTCATTTGATATTTAACATGTGGTTCTTGATCTGCCATTGTGTATCTGTTCCTACCGAACCCAGCCGGATGAAGCAGATGGTCCTCTTGTCCTGATCCTGGTTCTGCTAAAGGTTTCTTTCTCATGAGGGAGTTTTTCATTTCCACTGTCGCCTTCATGCTTGCTCAAGATGAGAGTTCTGTGATGGAGTTAAATTCAAAGCTGCTCCTCAGATAAATAATGTTAAATTATTATTTTTATATATGAATGTTTCTATTTCTAATGTTTCTATTCAGTGCATCTGAGACGACTTCTGTTGTGACTTGGCGCTATATAAATAAACTGAATTGAATTTTATTGGGGCAGCACGGTGGCACAACTGGTTGAGCTGCTGCCTCTCGGAGAGCAGGTCCCCGGCTCAAATCCCAGTAAGGGGGCCTTTCTGGGTGGAGTTTGCATGTTCTCTCTGTGCATGCATGGGTTTTCTCCAGGTACTGCGGTTTCTTCTCACAGACCAAAAACATGCACGTTTGGCTGATTGTTAACTCTAAATTGTCCCTAGGTGAGAGAGAGAGAGTGAATGTTTGTTTGTCTTGTTGGTCTCTTTGAGGCCCTGTGATGGACTTGAGACCTGTCCAGGGTATCCCCGCCTCTCGCACAGTGGCTGCTATGGGACATGGTCAACCCAAAAAAAGAAGAAGCGGGTAAAGATAATGGATGGATGGCTGAATTGAATTTAACATGGTTCAGCATTTATACTGATGCATGCTCAGTAATCCAGTTAGAAAAATCTAAAACTGATGAGAATTGAGCATGCATCAGGATACTAAAACTGATGGTTTAGCATTGTCTTTCTGAAATATGCTACGCCCGAAAAAGCTGTTGCCTGAATGGGAGCAGATGTTCTAAAATCCCTTTGTAATTTTCTGCATTGATGGTGACTTTTCTAATGTTTAAGCTGCCCATTCCAGAGGCACTGATACTAAAATAACAGGCTGGATGGTTCCTCTGGTGAGACTTCTCCAGAATCTTCAAATATTTTTGACTGATTTAATTTGATTAAAAATGGACTGTACTTATATAGCGCCTTTCTATCTTATTTCAAGATACTCAAAGCGCTTTCCACTACAATCTGTGTCCTCATTTATCCATTCATACAGCACTCTACTAGATCTCTACAAAGCTAATGGAACAAATCATTCTAAAGAGACTAATCAGTGATTTATCACATTCATACACTGATGGGACACACATCAGAGGCAACAAGGGGTTCAGTGTCTTGCCCAGGGACACTTCGGCATGTGACTGCTGGTGGATTTGAACCCCCAACTCTCACATTGGAGGACGACTGCTCTAACCACTCAGCCACAGTCGCCCTTGTAACTGTAGATGTAGTAAGAATATTCAAAGTCTTCCCAAATTTTTTTTTGAGGATCATTATTCTGAAATTGCACCACTATTTTTAAACACGATTTGTTACAGACTGGTGAACCTCTGCTTAACTTCTGAAAGGTTCACTGTTTTTAAAATGCTCTTTTTATATCCAGTCCTCTTTACTGACCTTTTCACAATTAACCTAATTAGTTATTAAATGCTGCTCTAGCTGGTTCTTATTCATACCACTTACTTCTACTGCCCTACCCTATTTTTTAAGACATGTCGCTGCCATCAAATAATATTACCATACTTAAAAAAAAAAAGTGGTGCAGTTTCTTAGTTCCCATATTTGTTTACTATGTTTCATTGTAAATAAAATATATAGTTTAAATTAGCAAATCATTGCGTTCTGTTTTTAATATAGTACATTTTAAAAAAGGTCCCAATTTTATCAGAATTGGGATTGTATATTTACAGAATTTTCTTTTTTTTTCTGTCTTCACAAACAATCCAGCCGGACCGAATCCGCCAGTTTGGACTAAGCAGAAGAAAAGGTACTCTGGTTCTGGAGCCAACAAAAGGGAACGTATCATCAGCTAAAACATTTCCTTATGAAGAACACGCTGGTAGAGAAGGAGAAATGCCTCCTCCTGAGGAGCCATGTGTTGCCTTCCAGTCCCCTCTGTTGGAGTACAGCTCTGCTCTTGGCCTGGGGGACAGCAGTTTGTCTCAGCCCACTACCCTCTCTATCCATAACACCATGGACTTACCCAGGTATTCCTCAAACATAAAGCTTTCCTCAAATATATTTAGAAATTTGAAAATTGTAAACGCTCAAGACTATTTTTCCTGATGCATGCTCAATAATCCAGACCATGCTCAGAGTACTGTAAGCACAACAAAAGGGCAGCTTGTTAATTCATCATCTTTGGTTTTGTTTAAAAGAAACTGGTTGGTCAATATTTAATTAGAATCTTGAATTATGTCACACTGCTCACGTGTCCTATAGTCCAACATCTATCAACTTTCCTCTGTAAATCTCAATGATAATTTGATTCTCAGTTTTGACAAAATGTCCATGTCTTAATGTATAAACTGTAAGAAGTATAAAGGGACCAAACTCAAATGAAATAGAGAAGAACAAGTAAAAGAAAATGGTTAAAAAAAATGAAACAAACAGCTAGGTCGTAAGGCGGTGTAGAATACTAAAAACAGGAACATGTCTGCATTGGCTTGTGCCATGAACTTAACAGATGTTTGAAGCCACTTTGAGAGGTCAAGGTCGTGAGCTTCAGATCATTTTGCAAGATATTTCCGGAAACTAGAGCGGAGAAGGAGAAGGCCCTTTTGTCTAGTTCAGTCCTCACTGAGGGGACAATGCATGTAATAATGTCCTGAGAGCGCACACTGTATGTAAGGAAGTGTGAAAATGAAGTTGTATCAAAAGACTTCCTTACGGTGGTCGACGGGTGCAAACACGCAGCAAACGGCGAAACGCGCAGCAAACACATGTATGATGCAAACTCAAAAACATGCAAACACATAAAAAAAAATGCAAGCACAAAAAACAAACACAAAAAAATAATGCAACCACAAACAAAAACATATGCAAACACAAACATGCAAACAAAAAAACATGCAAACAAAAAAAACAAACGCAAACACAAAAAAACATGCAAACAAAAAAACAAACGCAAACACAAAAAATATGAAATGCAAACACAAAAAAATGCTAACACAAAAATATGCAAACAAAAAAATCAAATGCAAACACAAAAAAATCAAACGCAAACTAAAAAAAGCATGCATGAAAACACAAAAAACACATGCAACAGAAAAACGCTGCAAACAGTGAAAACACCAGCAAACTCGCTCTACAAAAACGGAAGTGCTCCAGACCACTAGGGGCAGTTGAACAAAGAATAAATCATAAAAGAAACTTCCGGGAAGAAAAACATTTTCCAACCACAAATAAATCATACAAGAAGAAGAGGAAGAAAGAAAAGGTTTGTTTATACTTTATTCATTCAAACTCGCAGTCTTTTACAATAGTCCCTTTTCACATGACGTCAGACAACTTCAGTTCTTACTCGACGCGGTTGATCATTACTTCCGGGTCTATTCTCCCTCGGGAGACCTGTCTGGAAACTTGACGGAATTTCATTCATTCAACCTTTATTTACAGAGGTTAAATTACAAGATATAGCGCAAGGTAAGGTTAATAAAAACACTATTTGCGTGTTAGTTAGTTGTGGTAACGTTATCCATCATTATCAATTTACCATTCTGTTACTGTGTAAGGAAACAGCCTCCAATTGTAAAGTAAGCTAGCTAGCAGCAACAGGGAGCTAAACTCTACACTGCTGCTGCCTGTCAGTGCTGTAACATTAAAATGTTTAACTTTTATCTATTAATGTAAAATCTCTGACATCTTCCAACACTGTTGTTTAGAATAGCATTTTAAATATAGAATTAAAAGCTATATGTCAAACCATTTCCATGTTCTGATGTGATTAAATAATTTATCTTTTTACTTTTTTCTTGTGTCCATCTTTCTCAGCAGCAGCTCATCTAACCAGCATGACACAGTCATCAAGACGTTATTGCAGTGTGCCATGTTGTTCCAATAATAAACTAAAAACACAGTATTTGAGTTTCCATGATTTTCCCGCGGACAAAGAAATACGTTCCTGTTGGGTGAGAGCGATCAGGAGAGATGAAGGGCCAACTTTTAAAATCCTTCGTGGGAGCACCCATGCAGTCTGCACTTTGCCCCAGAAGATCTAAATTCATCAGCCAGTGGAAGAACTAGGATTAAACGATGAGCAGTGCCATCTAGATTTCACTGGAATGATTGGGGTAAATGGAGGGAGGATAGTGCTGAACATTTTTTAAAATATTGTAAACAAAACAACAAAAGTCCATGCTAAATAATCTAGGTATACAATCCAACATTTTTTAGTTAGGTCATCTGGACAGTTTCTTTTTTTTGTAAACAAAAATATGTCCTGACCATGAAGTGTCTGATTTCCCACCTCTAGGGAGACGCTCACAAGCTTGTGAGTCAGTTTACCTGTGAGCAAGAAAGTGTCTCGTGCTGCTGGCCAGGATGACTCCCAGGAGATACCTGACCCCGGGAACTGTACAGAGGAGGCATTGCCTGCAGGTGCAGTGGCAAAAGATCACGACTCTGCCTGACATCCTTCTCCAGGTTAGCATTAAGGTTAGCAAAAAATATATTTCAGTGAATAACACTGTAACCATCTCGGTGTTGTGTTCAGAACATTTTGGACTTGCTAATGGTTGAGAGACTGACAGTAAATACATGAAATGATTTGAATGAGGAGGAGCAGCTTTATACTTTATGGAAAATATTGCATATTTTGTGTTTTCCCCTTTGAAAAAAAAAATCTTTATCTCAGAACTGTCAAGGCAGTAATAAGTAAAAGGAGAAATGCTGCAATACAAAAGATATTTGATAATTGAACAGGAAATTAATGGGTGGATAAGTGACGTCTATTAATGTTTATATTTTCTTTTCCCTTAGGTCAACTGGATGATGCTGCACGGAGAATTCAAGAGTTGGAGAGACAAGTTTTATCTCCAGAAATGAAAATCCAGCAGCTGACAATTAAGAAGTGCCCTCTTGTGTGTGTGTGTGTGTGTGTGTGTGTGTGCATGCGTGCGTGCGTGTATATATATATATATATATATATATATATATATATATATGTACAAACTTTCTTTACCAACATTGCTCCATGTACAGCGTTCATTAAAATTATTAAATGAATGTTTGCAAGAAGCTGCCACAAACCTTGTTTAATTGTTACACAATAAAGTTTTAATTTTAGCATTTCCTCCACATACATTACCAGATGTGTAAAATATACAAACAGATGCAATTTAAATGTAAAAGATGTACATATGCAGATTACTGAAGACAAGCTATTTAAAAAAGTTTTGACAGAATTCTTCACAACATCAATTCATTCATTAATAGATTTAAAAAAAAAGATACAAACCGGATTCCAAAAAAGTTGGAACACTAAACAAATTGTGAATAAAAACTACGTAGCCATGATGTTGTGATTGCTGCAGAATGTGGTCTGGCATTATCGTGTTGAAAAATGCAGGGTCTTCCCTGAAAGAGATGACGTCTAGATGGGAGCATATGTTGTTCTAGAACCTGAACGTAGTTCTCTGCATTAATGGTGCCTTTCCAGACATGCAAGCTGCCCATGCCACAAGCGCTCATGCAACCCCATACCATCAGTGATGCAGGCTTCTGATCGGAGCATTGATAACAACTTGGGCTATCCTTGTCCTCTCTAGTCTGGATGACATAGCGTCCCAGTGTTCCTTAAAGAACTTCAAATTGTGACTCATCTGACCACAGAACAGTCTTCCATTTTGCCACACTCCATTTTAAATGACCCCTGGCCCAGTGCAAACGTCTGAGCTTGTGGAGCTTGCTTAGAAATGGCTTCCTCTTTGCACTGTAGAGTTTCAGCTGGCAACAGTGGATGACACGGTGGATTGTGTTCACTGACAATGCTTTCTGGAAGTATTCCTGAGCCCATTCTGTTATTTCCTTGACAGTGGCATTCCTGTTTGAGGTGCAGTGACGTTTAAGGGCCCGGAGATCACGAGCATCCAGTAGAGTTTTACGGCCTTATCCCTTAAGCACAGCGATTGTTCCAGATTCTCTGAATCTTTTGATGATGTTATGCACGGTTGATGATGATAACTTAAAAGTCTTTGCTATTTTACACTGGGTAACACCATTCTGGTATTGCTGTACTATCTTTCTGCACAACAAAGGTTGAATTGGTGATCCTCTTACCATCTTGGCTTCTGAGAAACACTGACACTCTGAGAAGCTCTTTTTATACCCAATCATGTTGCCAATTGACCTCATTAGTGTTAATTGGTCTTCCAGCTGTTCATTATATGCTCAATTTCCTTTTTCCAGCCACTTATTGCTACTTGTCCCAACTTTCTTGGGATTTGTTGACACTGTGAAATTTTGAATCAACATATTTTTCCTTTAAAATGTTACATTTACTCAGATTAAACTTTTGATCTGTCATCTATGTTATATTACAAATAAAATATTGACATTTTCCATCTCCACATCATTGCATTCAGTTTTTATTCACAATTTGTTTAGTGTCCCAACTTTTTTGGAATTCGGTTTGTACATATACGGAGAGATTTCCAACACAGCTGCTTGCAGTAATGAATGTTCATCCAAGAAGTGTGACTTGAAGGAGCAGGGAGGCTCTAGACTGGTTTGTCAGAGTCAGAGTCAGAGTCAGAGTCAGAGTTTCTTTATTGTCATTCGCACCTCATGTGGTACATGTGGTGGAGCGAAATTATGTACACAGGGTCCCAGTTACATCCAACAATAAAATGTATAAGAAAAACAGTAATAACATCTAAGATGTGAACTAAGAAAAACATCAACTAAATATACACTAAGCACTCATAACATAAAACATTGAACATCACCACAAACATGAACATGAGTCTGTGAGCAGATGTGCACGCATGAACACATCAACATTGAAACAGATCAGCAGCAACATGAAACAGATCAGCAGCAACATGATATGGTTTTTCACAGTGATTATTCTAGTTAGAGATTCATGAGTCTAACAGCCTCAGGGTAGAAGCTGTTCCTCAGTCTAGTGGTTCTACACTTAATGCTCCTTAACCTCCTTCCTGAGGGGAGTGGGGCAAAAAGTGTGTGTGCTGGGTGGGTGGGGTCCTTCATGATGCAGGTGGCCCTCTTCCTGCATCTGGAGGTGTAGATTGTCTCCTTTTCCATAAAGAGGCTCCTGATAATTTGATATTAGGCAGCAGCAGATGATCCACAGCTGATTGACTGAACCTCCTGACTGACTGGTACTCCTTCACATGGTCCTCTCTACTAAAATCCTCAGACGAGCCTGGGTCTTCAGGGTGTCCTCTTTGCTGAGTTACTGCTGCTGAGAAAGATGGACACGAGAAGAAAGTAAAAAGAGAAATTATTAATCATCAGAACATGGAAATGGTTTGACATATAGTTTCTAATTCAATATTTAAAATGCTATTCTAAACAACAGTGTTGGAAGATGTCAGAGATTTTACATTAATAGTTAAAGTAAACATTTTAATGGTAAAGCACTGACAGGCAGCAGCAGTGTAGAGTTTAGCTACCTGTTGTTGCTAGCTAGCTTACTTTACAATTGGAGGCTGTTTCCTTACACAGTTACAGAATGGTAAATTGATAAAGATGGATAATGTTACCACAGCTAACTAACACGCAAATACTGTTTTTATTAACCTTACCTTGCGCTATATCTTGTAATTTAACCTCTATAAATAAATGTTGAATGAATGAAATTCCGTGAAGTTTCCAGACAGGTCTCCTGAGGGAGAACAGACCCGGAAGTAATGATCCACTGCGTAGAGTCGGAACGTAAGTTGTCTGACGTCATGTAAAAAGGGACTATTGTAAAAGACTGCGTGTTTGAATGAATCAAGTATAAACAAACCTTTTCTTTCTTCCTCTTCTTCTTGTGAGATTTATTTGCGGTTGGAACATGTCTTTCTTCCTGGAAGTTCCTTTTATGATTTGTTCTTTGTTCGACTGCCCCTAGTGGTCTGGAGCACTTCCGTTTTTGTGGAGCGAGTTTGCTGGTGTTTTCACTGTTTGCAGCGTTTTTCTGTTGCATTTGTTTTTTGTGTTTGCATTTGATTTTTTTTGTGTTTGCATTAGATTTTTTGTGTTTGCATGCATGCTTTATTTAGTTTGTGTTTGATTTTTTGTGTTTGCATTTGATTTTTTTGTATTTGCATCTTTTTAATGTGTTTGCGTGTTTTTTGTGTTTGCATTTAATATTTTTGTGTTTGCTTTTGTTTTTCTGTTTGCGTGTTTTTTTGTGTGTTTGCATATGATTTTTTGTGTTTGCCTTTTAATTTTTGTTTTTGTGCGTTTTTGTGTGTTTTTGCGCGTTTTTCCGTGTTTGCATCATACATGTGTTTGCTGTGCGTTTTGCCGTTTGCTGCGCGTTTGCACCCGTCAGGCACTGTACTTCCTTCACTGAAAGTGAAGTGTCCGTTGGCCTGTTTTGGAATAAATGCCTGTTTATTATTATGTACCTTATTGACTGTCTAAAATAGCTTGGTTGTATGGCTGAAACTGGGAACGTTTGAATCTGAATAAACCACAAAAACTATTGAACAATTTCCTTCGGACAGATGAGACCAAAGTAGTAATGCACTGTCAGGAAAAGTGGTGGAGAGCTGATGATTTGGGCTTGTTCTGCAGACACAGGACCTGGGCACCATGCAGTCATTGAGTCAACCATGAACTCCTATACTGACCAAAGGTCTCTACAGTCAATCATGACTACAATTTTGACCAAATTAGACCATGAAAAATAAAAGTCAATGATCCCAAACACAGCAGCAAAAATACAACAAAACAGGAATCAAGGTTTTGTTTTGTAAGAGAGCTATTGTAAATATAATCATCAAACATCAAAATATGTAACAAAAGCAATGTTGGAATGAGTGGGCTAGAACTTCACAACAGTTATTGTTCCTAATTTGGCTTTATAAATATGGGACTAATTACAAATTTTAATGACTGAATACACTATGCCTTTTTTTCTGCACACTTAAATAGTCGAAGGATAAAATTAAATAAGTTACTACTGTCTTTCTAAAAAAATAAAAAGGTATCTCTACCCTGTTATAATATTGGACCAAATGTTCCTTCTTTCTCTCGTTGGTGGGAATTGAAACCAGTAAGTTCTGTTTCATCAGAGCTGCCCTGTTGTGTTTTTGTCTGTGGCCTATGCGGATGTTGGATCCTTTTTGGCTTGAACTTCTGGGATCATGACAAGAAGTTCCAGTCCTTCTACATACGGGTCGATGGTACACACACTAAAGACAGCTGATTAGTGCTGGATGCTGACTAACCAGCAAAACTAATATTGAATAAATTTTATTTTAAGATTTTGACAACAATCTGTCATTTTATTGATTCTACTGAGCGATGAGAACCATTTTTGTCATAAAATAACTTGTAGGGCAAATTTTAAATAGCCTTGTTTTAATATAAACATTCATGCTTAAACAGGATTTTTTACATGATTTTTATTGTACATTGTTGTGCATTATTAGTCACACATGTTCTGTGTTCCTTCCGCAACAACAAAATTAAAGAGGCTGAAGCAGAACAGCTCAGAATCAAAGTTTCAGCCTGCCTCAGCAATGCTAAACCACCACCTTCCAACATCAGTAGAGAGGAGAGGGACGCACTCAC